TTGTTTTTTTACAATGCGCAAATTTTAAGACCAAATGTATTCAAATTTTATACTCGATTTATACGTAACAAAACCATTATAAAGCAAATATATTGACATCGATCAGGTCGATTAATTTTAAGTTTAATTTAAACGATGCCGTTATCATGCATATTAATAACTTCGTGATGTAAACCTGAAAATGAAAACCGATCATACGCATTTGTCAACGCAATGAATAAAATTTAATTGGTCGCGACGTAAACAATCATCACATTTCGAGTTTCGAATCTATAGAAATAATCGTTAACATGATCAAAAATATCTACAGTGAAATAAATACATTCTTACCGAAGATCTTTTAATCTCAGTTTTAGATTTCACAAATAATAACAAAATTTAGTTAAAAAAAAGGGCTTTTTCAATCGTAAAATCGAATAAAAAGTAGAACTATATTGAAACATCCGAAAAACTACTATTTGGAATTTCGGTTGGCGAACACGTCTGTAGAAAATTAACGATTTCGCGTTTTGGCCATATTTTTCGCGATGTGTCCGCGAGCAGTAAATAACACACAGATCCAGAATCCGGGTTAGAGAGCGCTCGCGAAACATGGTGTGTAGAGTACACGTTGCTTTATGCGAGCGACAATAAATACTTTCGAGACCGTGGAAGAGAAAGAGATTGCAGCTGGTAAACGTCCAACTGTTGAGCCAAGCCGTACATACGTATACAAGTCGGTGAAAGATTTTACGGCCGCTACGTAATATACATACGTACGACACGCGGAAACTTGGCCGCGTAGGTAGGTCGACACACGATTTGCCACCGTCAAGATCGTTATACTTCTCGTGGTCGGCGCGTATTACTTTTGAAATTTAATTTTACAACGGCAACTGTACGATTCAAACGATGATTTACAAGCCGTTTCGTTGAGAAACGTTACATTAATTAAATACCGTGGTTTTAACTCTGTAGTTTGCGAGATGCGGCTCGCGGAAGTACAATATTTTATAACTTGAGAGTTTTAATATAATATCTTTTTTTGTATAAAAAAAAAGATATTATAAAAATATTATATATTATAAACATATGTTTGCGAGTCTACATGTATTTAAAAAAAAATTTACAAATATGTGATATAGCAAAGTAATATTTTTACACACGCTTGAAAGTTATTTTCAAGTTCTACTTTGCGATATGAAGACACACGAGTTGTACAAAGTTTTAACAAGAGACAAACAGCTAAAGAGAAAAAAAATGTTCATCTAACTTCAAGTAAAAGTTCACTTGCATTCCATGGATAATCCTCGTTCTTTCTTGCATCTCTCTCTCTCTCTCTCTCTCTCTCTCTCTCTCTCTCTCTTTTGTCATTAATATTCCAATCAGCCGCGCGGGCGCCGCAGCATTCACGCTTGATATCGATCAGATTCTTTTCTGCCGGAGCGACGCGCACCATGGCCTCGAATATCAACGAGAGACGGAGAACTATCGACGACCGTGAAGTGCTCTAGGCATCGGAAAATTTGCGCCGTCGACAAGAGAAGATTAACCCACGGCCATAGTTATGGTGATTCACTCAGATAAGATCGATTTAATCGGCAAAACGAGCGGTCGAGCAAAAAAGGGATATAAAAAAAATAAAACACCTCGACTTTTATCTTTTCGTGTGACTGAGAATCTCGAGCGTGCTAATATCTGCACGAGCTGATCTCTCGTTGAATATTTGGCTATCTCGTGTTAAAATCTGATTATATTGAATATTAAAATTTTATCTTTTATTATGTTTAAAGCGACGATGAAAAGAAAAAAAATTGCAATTGAGACTTAAAGTTTTTATGATAATATGTATATAAATTTTTGAATAACGAGGTTTAGCAGGCGTGACTGCGCTTTTACTCCGACAACGCGCGAGTGCGTCACGTACATTATTCACGGCGAAAAGATATCTCGAAATGATCCTACGCACCGCACCTTCCTCCACGCAGGGGCGTATAAGCATGTAATAATTCTTTAACGTCTGGACACGGTCGGCAATAATTTATCGAGATAGCACCATGAAGTCAGATGATAAAAGTGCCGGGTGCGCATAAAGTCCTAAACTGTTGTCACAGCGATAGGAATCGGTTGTGTGATTTTAACAAAACAATTTAAACACGCAAACATCTTATAAGAAGCGTGAAGACAGATTTCTTTCGTTCACAGACATATAAGTTGGATAAATATTGCGACTATGAAAAAAGATAAATAAGAGTTTAAAGTATAAACTAAATAAGTGCAATAAACACGCGCGTGAGAGTAAATCAAAGATCGAGCAGGAAAATATATACGAGAGGTATCGTTAAAAGCCCATGATTTATGTACACTGTTGTATTTACATCGCGTATCTCAATCAATTAATCTCGCATGCATAGTATCAATTAAACCGCAATTTAAATTCAGAGGTAACCGATAACTGCAACTCGTTCGAACGTCTCTTCTCGATGGTAAAACATTTCGCTAGCGAACGCTCGCTCTAAATAATCAATGTCGTTGCGATTTACCCGACGGCGGCGGGTTTGTTCTTATCGATAACTGTCAAAAGCAAGGAAAGACATTAGAGAAAATAATCCTCATCCACAAATATGGCCGGCTATATCTCATATATGTACACTGTATAATACGAATCGACCCTTACGCGGATTACGACCGACCATTTTGAGCAGTCCTGAGTCAACAGTAATGCGCGCGAGGGTGTGTGCGTGTGTGTGTGTATGTACATACAGTCCTCGAGGTTAATCTAACCCCCGTCGCCAGTTTCCGCGAGAAATTATCCTCGTTCATTTCGTTGCCCAGACGACAACGCGCGTGGGACAATCAAATTTTCCCGTTCAAAGCACCCAAGATCAAACAAATAAGGTAAAAGTTACTAGTTGCGAATCATTTAACATATCCAGATAGTTATATTGCTAGATCGCAAATTAAAGATCACATATTTTCATCAGGAACGATAAAAATCGTCTTCGTGACAAACTGGAGAAAGAAAAAAGGGAATTTCAATTTTTCATTTTCTTATGTTATCATCGACCATTCGATACGTCCAAGCGGGTCAGTCAACCAGCCAGAGGTACGAAACGTTTTCGTTGTCTTTTTCTTTTTCCGTGGCAATTCGGAGACACTCCGGTCGAAATTACATCGTGGAAAGCCTTCCCACGACTCTTATGTCGAGCATTCTCGTGCCTTTCGAAGAACTGTTAGTGACGCTTTCATCCTCAAATCCTCGTTAAATGCATTTTAAGAGTCGGAGGGAAAAGTGCTTCTTTTTTTCAGCGATAATCGTCCCGTCGGGCAGTTAAAAACATAATTGAAAAAAATGAAATTCTGATTTCTATAAACTTCTTTTTTCTGCTAATTTCAAATTTAATAAACTTCTTCAATTACTGCAACTCTCGCGATCAATTCTTCGGCAAATTGATTAGTGGAAGAGAAATATTTCTTGTGAACTGTGAAAGAATATACGTATCGAAGAGCGGGTGGAAGTAGCGACACGCGCAATTCATATATCGCACCTCCGTGTGCTACGATCGATCTTGGGACACGAATTTAACGAGATAAGATTAGATAATTTCAGGAGCAATGTTTATCCAAGTAAAACGGATCGATATTACGGATAGAAATACGAACTCTCCGAGATATTCCTGTCTAGAATCGGGAAGGAAAAAAAAACTCAGTACAAACCAAACTGAAATATGGTAATCACGACACCACACCTTGCGGAAAAGAAGGCGCGAAATCTCACAAAAGTAATTTGCACGTAGAAAAATGGTCCGCGAGAGATACGCGACGGGTTTCTTTCTACGAGCAGTGGCGGCGGCGCCGTGCATGTTGTAATAAACTGGTTTCCACGACACACAAACATCGAGACGGCGGACTTCAAAGTATAACCAGGGGAGACGAAATAGGAGCGCATGAAGAAAAGTGCCGCGGAAAGAGGAAGAGGAAGGAAAGAGCGGAGCGCGCGTGCAAATAGAACTTGTGTTAGAACTTTTTTTTTTCTTTTTTTTTCTTTTTTTTTCTTTTTTTTTTTTTTTTTTTTTTTTTTTTTTTTTTTTTTTTTTTGAAAATGCTGTGCCAGCTTCACACCAACGGCGCGAGAGAACGTGCCTGGCACAAACATTCCACTCATAACGCGTTGCTCTCTTACACAGAGTGCAATTGCAACGACTTTTAGGAACAGCTCAAAGTAAGCACACGAACCAGAGTGAGTGGATTAACCTCGCGGTCGCGTGTGAAGAATGATGTAATAAAATTACTCGACACAAGAGGGGGATATATATATACCTGCTAATAAAAAGAACTGATTTATGCTCAATTAGACATTCTAATTGAGATAGTTATCATTATATCGTTCTAACGTGACTTTGAACATTTCTTTAAGTCATTTATTAAAGCAGGTTCTTAATAACAACGCGCACTTGTATATAAATAATTTGTATACATTATAATTACGTGCCAAATATAATTTCAAATAATCAATTTCAATATGTTAAGACTTTTTATTCAATTATTTGTACAAAACACTGTTAATTTGCGTCAAATTAAATATTTTCAATAGAATTTGTAAATTCCCATATTAGAAATTAAATAATTATCATATAAACCCCGGCTTATATTGCGTTTATAGTATACAGTAGTATATCAGGTATATGCGATCGTTAGATACTAATTATATAACATATAAAGCTTTCACACACGTGCTGTTTATAATAGCTGATGAGTAACATAAAGTATGCTAACACCAGTGATAATCTACCGAAGACTCGTTATTGCGCACTTAGTTTATGCTAATCAGATTTGCGAGACTCTGCTGTAGCAGATGTCGAGAATCAACGAGACGAGCGAGTGAGCAATTAGAGGAGAAGCGAGTGTTCCCTGCTTTTTGATATTCCTGTTTTACGACAGTTTAAATCGAAGGGTGCCTCAACCCTCCCCGCGCCAACGCGTAGCGTGATCGCCCCTGTCTACGAAAGATTAGATTCTACCTCGGGGATTGAAGCTCGAAATCTGCTGTGCAACGTCGCTCTCGCTGATGGAATTTCACGTCGGTTCCTTTCTGCTCTCGTGCCAAATATTGTTTTTCTACAACCTTCTTTTTCTCTTTTCCTTCCCTTTTCTCTTTTTATCTCTTTGTTTCTTTTCTCTGCATATACAAAACGATCGGAAAATAAAATTTTCTTTGCTATTGTCTCGACTGTATAAAATTTTTCGTATACGAGCAATCGGATTACTTTTCTGACTGAACCGATTTCTATTTCAATTGTATTTGTCAATGTTTGTTATCTTTCGAAGAACCAAAAAGCAGATTTTTGTATAATATATAATATATAAAGAAAATTATTTTGTGCTCGTGTGTCTAATTGCTCTTCTAATTACTTCCGGAGTTAATATTTTATGTTTCCGAGATGTTATGACGTGGTGAGATGATGACTCATGCAAATTTTGTATGGCTCATTTTGTTCCGCCTAAAGCAAACTTGTGTGTTGTTGCGAAACTAAACAGTCATTATTATTGGATTTCTTTACGAGAAGATCCTTGACTTAATGCGGGTGACGGAACACGAGTACTTCCTGATGATGGCTCGCGAAGGCCGAATTAGTTTTCACCCACATCTAACGAACGTTTCGTCATTTGACCCGACGACCTATCATCGCCGTGACGTTACCAGCCGTGGGAGGATGACTTGTCTCATGGGATCCCGTCATGTTACAACCGAATTATTTCGATCGATTAATTAATCCGATAATGTTTGCCTTAATACAAATGACAGTGTTTCCTTTAGAAATTTTATTAAAGTCAGAAATTTAAATATTTTGATATAATATAATTAAATAAAAATATATATGAGTTAAAAACATTGATCAAAGTTTTGATGGAATACAAAAAATGAATTACGCCGCCGCTTTGCATATAATTTATTCCTTTCTGTTATTCTTCGAAGAAGATACAAAGAGGATAAGAGAGAGAGAGAGAGATAGAGAAGTAAATCCCTGTAGCTCTTTCTTTTCTAGCCTACTGATGCTGGTGGTCCGAACAATCGGCTCGAATAAATACGGATTCCAGACAGTTTCCTACAGGAAAAACCAAATAAAACGTTCAAAAAGATCCGTTTATAAAGGAACTTGTAAGAAGAGCGCTAAGTTACTTCCCGGGAGGTTTGTTGATCTCACACGCACACAGTTATCGTTACATAACTCAGTGATAATACTGATATGTGTGTTTGTATACGAGGTAGTGTGACCTCTATTTCTTGAAAATATCTAACAATTTGAAGTTTCATATTTCGAACTGTTTTAATTTTGCTTCACATAACGCTTTTGTTACTCTCTTCTTTAAACATTCACACTACAACAAATTTTCTAACAAATTTTGCTAAACTTTAAGATCGAAAAAATTTTAAACGCGAAGTTTACATTGAATAAAAACTTTTTTACATTCAAATATTCACTATACAATTATTATTTATTAAACTTACGCAAATTAATTAAATAAAATTAATTTTCTTTCACGTATTGCGCTGTTGTTACCACGAGAGAAAGAGAGATGGTTATATATTATAGTTATATATTCACTTGTACGCTACCAGCCATATTTATATGCGGTATTAATTCTCATCAAGAACAGCGATTTCGAACGAGATTCTGCGGAAGAAAACGAAATGATCGGAGATAGGATGACGGTGGAGCGTGAAAGGCAGCAAAGTGGAGAATATGAAAAAGCAGTACCGCCTACGGCAAAAGTAAGACGTGTGCACCTGCTCTATATAACGCAAGATACGTCAAACTCAACAATGAAGTCTCTTTGAATGGAGAGAGAGAGAAAGAGAGAGAAAGAAAGAAAGAAAGAAAGAGAAAAAGAGAAAAAAGAAAAAAAGCCTCATGCTGAGTCATCTCCGCCGCGATCTCTTGCAAGCTTCTTTGACGCGACTCTTATTCGAGTTAAAAAATATTCGAAGTTTTGAACAAGATGTTTGATAGTTTTTTTAGTTTGCAATAATTGCAGAAAAAAAAAAACATTTTTTACGCGATCAGAGAGATGCGCAAGTAACTTCGAGTATAATTGCAAATCGAGTTTATCGTTCTGATGCGCCATGGACTTGAGACGTACCGTGTGCGAAACGTAATCAAGCACGTAATCGCGAAACAATCAAGGATGAGAACACATGAAATATAAGACTGTAAATAACACGGTGGTTAAACATACAGTGCAATCAAGTTTTCAGACGTGTTTCATCTCGAAAGACGTTCACGAAAGCCAATGCACCCTCCTCATTCGATAGCTCGGAAATACCTTGAAAAAAGATAGCGTGCCGGAGAAAGAGAGAGGCGTGGATGAATTTTCTTGCGTGTATGAAGTCCCAAAGACCGTGGGAATCGCTACAGATTATTATCCTTCGCACATGTATCGACATATCCTGAATGTAGGTGGATCAATAACCCGACAGATTGCAATATTCGTACAGACAGAGAAACAAACATATCTGTCACTCTCGTAATAGAAATGTTATGTACTTGTATCGCGTACAAAAATATTCTTTTGAAATAAACAATTATTTAATTGACACAAGACAATTGTCGATTATTTTTCTCGGAATAAATGTATAATATTGCAAACTTTAACCTTGCAAAATAATCAATTGTGTATCGATATAAAGTAAACGTATATACGTACGAACGCGTACAATAAGTCTTGCGGAATTTTATAGTTGAAGAAATACGAGTCGTCGGCACGTCGACTGTACACACAGGTATAAGAAACCAGATGCCGTTTGTCGTTACGCAATCTATTGTCTGTCTTCGTCAGGTAAGAGTTAGCGACAGTTGCGATAGAGCAAAGTGCAGTTTGACAACTTGTTGCTAACTAAAACGTGGAACGCGCGTTTGACGAGAGCGAGAACAATCAGCCGGTTGTCAAGATTTCTCACGGAAAACCAGCGCGACAAGATTCTTCTGTCAAGGTTCTTCAGCGGAAATTGAAAGAAAAGTCCATTATGTGCGTGTGTACTTATCTATCGAATATCTATCTAATGTTTAATATAAATATTTAAAAGATATTCATAATTAATATATTTATACTTTTATTTAACCCTTCGACTGTAAACATAAAAAAAAAACCTACAAGAACTGTAGACTGAGTCTGTGAGGCCTACGCAACTTTCTCGAATATCTTCGCAAAAAAATATTTGTTCAATTTTTTTTTGCGAGTCAAAAGTTTGAACGATTCTGCGTCGATAAAAAAAAACGATTGAAAAAATCTCCAGTAGTTTTAAAAATAAAGCGTGTAAAAAAAAACTTATTTTTTCTAGAAACGTCGATGCGCAATTTTTGAGTGGGTCTGAAAGACCTACGAACAAAGGGTTGAATCAGAAAGTGTTGTGTTTATTTCTCCGTCATGTAAAATATGTAAAGTTAAGAAAACACATCCATTTTTCATAAGAATATTTTTAACTGTCGGAATGTTTAATATTTAACAACCTGCATGAGGGGAAAGTAAGCAAGGGTGGCTGTGGAACGTGTCTACGTCGCTGGCATGAGACCGATCGATCGCCCGCCTTCACTCTACCCTCGACCTGGGGGGTCCTTGCCACGCCGGTCAATGTCACTGGTTATTACAGTAAAAATCCTGCCTATGCTTTTTGTCAAGACGACACAGGAAGAGCGGACACATTACGTGGTAATGGTAATCGTCAACTCACATGTGTAGTTTGTTAACGTAACTTGACTACTGATAAAATTAAAAAAACCACGTGTACTTTAACGCAATATATTTATTTCTAAAAGTAGATATAAGATTTTGTTATTATTTTATTTTATTATATTTTGTTATTGTAATGTTTATTAAAAACATTTCAGATGAGGAACATTGTTATGGCAGACGTTTTTAATCTCAGGAAATCGCTTTGTAAACATGTTCTTATGGCAAATGATGAAACTTGTCACTGGAACACATAGTCTGATTTGTACCGGTTTACGCCGGTTTCACGATCGGGAGTTCTGCGTGTGGATTGGTGAACGTACATACATATTTTTTTACGCCCTACTCGTTGGCCACAAAAAGTGGAGACCAGCGCGACCCCCCTTATTCTTCATTCTTTAACTACAGAGGACCGAGAGACTTATACTACCAACCTTTCTCTAATGAACGACAGGTAACCGCGAGTGCGCAGCTAACGGTAAATTAAAGCGCATTAAAAACACTCCGAAGGAGCGGGTGGCTCGAGCTTTTAACCGGCGGGGCACTCCCGCCCTCAATTACGACACTGTCGACCGCGAAATCTCATTAGACTGTCGGCGGCTCGTCTTAAGGAGAGAAACTGACGAGAGCGTTTTAGGCCTTGAACCATTGCTATGCGTCTGACTACTTCACTCTCTCTCGTCTCTTTTTTTGACAAAGCGATCGCGATGCAGCCTCTGCTGCTCAAGGCACGATAGGGCCTTTCGATATATATGCACACCCGAAATTATTGTGTTAAAATCTTCAGAACGATGTCGGGACGATGAGACGCTATTATTAAACGGGCCCAGTAATTTCGCGAGCACTAAACGATTTGTAAGAAAATTGGTAGAATATATGTAAAATTAAGGTAAGAATATATGTATATGTAATGATTTAAAAAAAGCAGTAGTTTATAAATATCGTTCGGCTAATCTTAAGAAAATATTTTAAACCTGCAAATAATGTAAGATTTTTGTATTACTTCCTGTTTATTTTAGAAGAATATTACAACTAATTTTTTTTTCTCGATAAAAAGAAAAAAAACTTGCTTATTGAAAAAACTTTTCGCGTAAACACGTTTACGAATATATATTTCATATATTTTACCGTACTTAGTTAATTTTATCTTTCATTTTTCTGTTTGCTTTAATGTCTTCGAGTTCGCTATCGAGATGGGATCGAGAGAGTCCGACTTCCTCACCAACATGCGGGGCACCACGACGATTTTATAAAATCCGATCGGCAATGTAAATAAGCAATCAAGTATTTCGTATGTACCGAGAAGTTTCAAGGTATTTCGCGAGCATTGAGCACAACAAATACAGAACAAAAATCAAGGCAATAAAGTCTCGCCGCTGTATGCTCGCCTCGGTAAGCAGGCAAGTCATAACTAGTTACACAACCGTTTCTCATGTAAGTATACGCGCCGGTCTCGACGCTGATACTCTAATCACATCCAATTATTTAGAGTTAATATACGTGTTGTGTAATTGTGGGAATCGCCATAAAGAAATAACCAGGAGGTGAAATACAACTAAATAGCACGTATATATTTCTGAGTATGATAGTAATAATAATGTCTAATAACCGTTACAGCCGTTGTGCGTCTTGACGTGTGTAAATGTATNAGAAAGAAAAACAGAAATTTTCCAAACTCTGTGTTTCTTGACTCTATCGAGAATTGATATCCGGTCTCGCGCCAGTATCGCGCGGCTGCGTTCCCGTGATATCATATCTTGTTATTGTCACGTCGCGAGGAGGAAGTGGAGTCCACGGGACGTAACACTACATTTATCAAATTTTATTCCATCGCATTTGTTTGGAAAAAAACCAATCTCAGCAAAATTGAGTCTTTTGCTTTTTTTTATGGTACATTGCCAATACGGAACCTTTGCGAACTATGGCTGATAGATTTGGAATTTCTATTTTATCTGTGTTTCGTGTTCTCCGTCGTGTCGTAGCTTGGTTGATAACAAAATTAGATGTAGTGATTAAATGGCCACAAGGACAAAATATAATACCAACAGTTGAAAGTTTTCGCGCTAAGCAAGGAATTTCAAATGTCTTAGGAGCAATTGATGGAACTCATATTCGGATAGAAAAACCTGCAATGTATGCACGAGATTATTGTAATCGGAAAAAATTTTTTTCTATTACTTTACAAATAGTGGTAGATGCTCATTTGCGGATTATCAATATACATTGCGGTGAGCCTGGTTCTCTTTATGATGCACGTATATTCCGAAGATCAGAATTGTACTACGCCACAAATGCTGACAATGGTGTACAATTATTCCCTGGTAATACATTTTTATTAGGAGACTCAGCATATCCATCTTTGCCCTGGCTTGTACCACCTTTTAAAGATAATGGTCATCTTACACCACAACAAAGAGAATTCAATTTTATACATTCATCCACAAGAATATGTGTTGAAAGAGCAGTTGGACAATTAAAAGGACGATTCCGTCGAATCAAATTTTTTACTGAATATTGTGAAATGTCATTCATCACTAACACAGTAGTTGCAGCATGTATATTGCATAATTATTGTATCAATGAGAATGATGTTTTGAATTTTCCTGAATATATTGACAATGAGTTTGATAATTTCGATAATGATAATGGAGAACTTGAAATACGAAATTATAGTATAGAAGGAGATTGTAGGATGCAGCTGTTTAATGAAATGTTCTCTGAACAATAATTTACTGTGAGAATTTTATACAATTCTCCGACTTGTTAAATAATGTTAATTCCAAAGAACGAATAACTTTTGACAATATTTGTATCTTATATATGTAATATTAAATTATCTTTATTATCATAATTATCAAATACACTTATCTATTACATATCTGACTTACAAACGTTATTTTTGGCATTACATTAAGTGTGCTTCAATAAAAAACAAAAACACTCTAAAAAAAGATACAACACTCTTTTAGTTTATTTATTTAAATTTTTAGTTTATAACTTGTTATGTTTGTTGGCTTATAACATACTTACAAAAAGAAAATAACATTTTTGTTGTGTATTTGTGGGAATCGCCATAATGAAATAAACCCAGGAGGTAAAGTACAATTAAACAGCACTTATATATTTTTGAGTATGAAAGCAATTAATGTCCGATAGCCGTTACAGCCGTTGAGCGTCTCGATGTATATATCTATATATATCGAAGAAGCTGAGACAAAAGTAAGAAGGTCGACTTCTTGTCGTCTCCCCGTCCCGCACGCTCCTCGCGACCCCTAGCCAATCAGAGTCGAGTCTCAAACGTCGCACGCGAGTCGCAAGCCTACTCGCTCCTCTGCGCGCGCACATTCAACCAATGCACGCACATACATAACACCCTCTCTCGTAAAGAATTACTCGATGTATATATATATATATACAGGGTCCGCCACTTAAATCCGGACAAATTTGAATTTGACATTCCCATCATATTAGAATGCAGCAGTAGGTGCCATATGACCTAAAGATAGGTTAGAGACGTCGATAAGACATTAATAA